GGCGGCGGTAGCTGGGAACCGAGCGGGAAAGCTCTTTGCTCTGCTTTGGTTTTGGTGGCTTTTTTTTATTTCCTAATGTCTTATACAGCTGTAAAAAAAAAACTTGAAAAAAGGGAAAAGCTATGGGAGCCTGATTTCCCACTTCTCTTGCCAGAAGCGCGGCGCGGCTCTGTGGCAGCGCTCCGGAGGTGACGGTAGGGGGTGCGCGGAGCACGATGGAAATTCTTCCGAACACATTTTTTTTAGTAAGCAGCAGCAGCAGACACACCTGGTCGGCATTTCAGTTTCCCCTGGTTTGTGGACGCTGTTTGTATCCCGAGAGATGATGCGGTTTCTTTGAACTACAGAAGTCTGATCTGACAAAATGTGTTGTCTACAAATCTGGACTCGCTGGCTACAAACTAGAGCTGCTCTTTCTGCGCAAATGTGTTTGAGACTGTAGCAGAGTATCCAGGCTCAGTTGGCAACACAAGGAAAAGGCTGATGACAGTGTAGCTCTCTGGGCAGACCTCTTTCTTTTGCATTTTTGGGTGGGGTAGCCTTGCTCGTATTGTGATATATGATGCCAAACTATATGTATAAACTATAGTTGCATCAGAACAGACAGCACAGAGAGGGGCTTAGAACAGGGCCCCGGTTGTGTGAAAGCTGATAACTCCTGGCTGATACAGGTAGGAAAGCTTCACCGTTCTTTGTGTCAGAAATCTGTCTTTGTACTGAAATTCATAAAGTGTAAAAATGTCATTACTTGCTAATCCGTAAGTTTATGTGGTTTTAAATTAAAATGTTCTTGAAAGCATGAACGTTTATTTTTAGGAGACAAGAACTAGATGTTTTGAATATTCTGAGCCTAAAATCCTTAAAATATTTGTTACAGATGTGACAGCTGAGGCAGTAGGTGTAGCTATTGCTGCACCTCCATCAGAAGGGGAGGCAAATGCAGAGCTGTGTCGCTACCTTTCTAAGGTGCTAGAAGTGAAGAAGAGTGAAGTTATTTTAGAGAAGGTACTTTCAGTCTTGTCCTACTGCAATTTAAATTCAAGATTTTGAAACTTGCGTATTGAGGACAGGGCGCTCCTCTCCAAGTTGAGTCCAAAAGACACTTCAAAGGTGTTAATTGAGTGATTCATTGAGAACAAGCCTAGTGTGAGAAGAACTGCAGCTGATGCTGAGATTTTTAATCAGAATAGTTCTCATCATGATACATTTTCCAGATTTGTGTGGTTCATGTTTTCTGTGTTCTTCAGAGGTTCTCTTGTTTTCACATCAAATTCAGTTCACGAAATTTGTGCTTTGCAGAGAATGTGCATTTTATTAATAACTTCATTCATTTTTTGGAAGTAACTTCGATATTCGAGTGACAATTAACTGTCACACATAAGCAAGAGCATATACAAGAACTTGGATTAGAGCTGGGCCTCGAGTTTCTTTGTGTTAGAATATACGTGTCTTGACATTGGCGAGCGGAAACTCTTTGTTTTATTCATTGCATTAAATAAATAATTTGCTTTATTAATTCATTGTACTTAAAGTCAGTCTTTCCAGCTATCTTCATTTATAGTTTATGAACATAAGAGCACAGTGCTCTTTGCTTTTGTCAGTTGGTTTAATGTAGTAGTTTGTAGAAGTCTGTTAAAGGATTGTGGTAAGTGGCAACGCGATCAATCAATGATTTGAGCACTGTGTTGCTGAAAGGTAGAGATGCAAAGTTTTGAGACTTGTTTTTCCTGAATCATGGGCAGACTGCTTCATTTTTTTAATTAACTTTTTACAGATAACACTGTTTTCCTACCTAAAGTTATGTTCAGGTTTAACTAGATTATTCTCGTAAGTGCTAAGCAGAGTTGGACATAAAAAGCGCCGGTGTCTGATCTTGACTCAGTTGTGTTGACCTATGATGTCCAAATAATTACATACTAGCATTGGTTTTTCACAAGGCACTGTTTGTTCTCAGTGGAGCATTGTGGTAAAGTCTGTATTTTACCTTTGGCTTAGATTTTTCCATCCTGATCTGCTAGGTGTAAACGGCAAGTATTTTTTTGGTACTGGTTGCTCTCTTATGCGCTACATACTTTATGATAAGTGCTAACATTAACAAAACCAATCCTAATCAGGGAATTGTGAGAAATGATCTAGTGTAAAGCAGCGGTTACCAGGTTTCTATACAAGGGTCTTGATTTTCATCATCAGCTGGACAGACTGTATAAAAAATATACTTTAAATTTTAAATTTCATACTACATTTCTGTATAGGAGAGATCAAGGCTTTTTCCTCCTTCAGGAACTCCCTCGTAGGCTTTTCAAACTTTTTGCCAGGCTGCAGATTAACGAGCATCTTGTTTCTCGTGGTTTACTGAATACTAACAAAGGAGGTTGCAGGTTTGCCAGTTCTTAGGTAAAATAGCCTTTTTCAGTGATAGAAAAGCAGGTCAATAATATTTCAGATAACTGTTGTGTGAATCTGAATGTCTTATAGGCTAAGTGCAATGTGATTTCGTTTAGTTGATATTGTCAACCTGAGAACTTAGCTTAAGTGTAACTAATACTCTGTGGAAGACAACTCTGAAGAAAGATACAAAAGTACAAAGTTATCAAGTATATATATATATACACACACTCACTTTTTAAAAAGAAAAATGTAAATTAGTTGGAGTCTTGCTTCTGGATGATAGAAGTGAATTATGGAAACTTACCAGTCCTTGATTTTTGTTCTAGCCTATAAAAAGAACATCAATTCAGAGCATGTTCTGGGAGCTGTATCCAGGTTTAAAAGGAGAGTAGAAAAGATGTTGCTTTTTGAATAACTAGAATAACTAGAGAGCACATTGATGAACTGTCTCTTACTGCTGTTAATTCTGCATACCCACACTTCAATAATGACTTTTAAAGTACTTGATATGTTGGCATTACAGTGAGATTTATTTTTTTTTAATGTGTATTTGGTGGTGACTCTCTGTAACATGGGGGTTTTGTGTATGTCTAAACCAGGGTGGTAAATCACGTGAAAAAGTGGTGAAGATTTTGGTATCGATGACGCCAGATGAGATTTTGGAAAAACTCAAGCAAGAAGCTTCCAGTTGACCTAAAACAGAAGCAGTGAATGGGGCCATGCATCTTGGTAAATGGACTGATACCCTTTCTTATGTAAGTCTTAGGACTCTTGAGAATGTGCAGTGACCAGGGAAAGGTACTCCTTCTGCCTGCCTCCCTTGTTAATACAGCTGCTGTATAGCTGAAGTTTTTGTGTAGGTTTGATTAGAGAACCTTATCTTTACTGAGGCTCTGTATCTGCTTCTGTCACTGCAGACTTTTCCCCTCTGGGGAGTTTCTTGTTGGTCCTGCTCCTTAAACAAATGGTTTAGAAAATTTGTTTCTTAGTCAAACAAACTTTGCTTAGCAAAGCTAACCTAGAGTGACAGGCTTCAGTGTGAGAAGTGGTACAAAAGGATGAGTGTGGATGGTGAAGACCCTAGAAGAATGTGTTTTTCAATATCTAGCAGCAGGTGCTGGGTGCAGCTTTGCGCTATGTCCACATATATACATCAAAAATAAACATGTGGATCACAAAGGCAAGTTAAAAGCAGAATCACCTGAACCACTGAAACAGAACCAGAAATTTGCAGTATGAAAAACTGACCCAGAACCTAGTAATTGCATACACACTATCACTTTGTAATAGTCTGTAATTAGTTTCCTGAAAAGTGGAAATACCTTTGACAAAGATACATGATTGTACGTTAAGTGTAATAACTGTTTGTAATAAAAGGGGCAAAAAATATTATTAAACTTTGGTTTGTGTTTATGTTTTTAACAACAACAACAACAAAAGGTTTCCTAGAAGTCACTTTTTAGAATATTATTTTTTAAACAGAGCCTTTTTGAATCATTTATTGGTTTAAAATTGAGGAGTCTCTCCAACTCATAAAGAACCAAGCAGAGTCATTTGTAGAGCAGAATGAGACATCTGAGACAAAATGGGCAACTCTAGTCTCAGGCCTAAAGAAAAGAATGCTTAACTTCTCTGTCATGCTTCAAAGATCAGAGTAAGATTTAACTAGTATTTTCCAAAAAATCTATGTGACATTGTATATGTCTTTGGTAGGAGTTTGCTTTTTCATTTGCATCACTGATGTCTGAAATTATCCTATCTTTACTATGGTTGTTGTATTTAAATATCTATGTATATATAACATAATGCCTAAAGTAAAAGACTGTTCTGAAGTTTTGATTTGTCATACCTTGTCCTAGAAACCAGTGTTATGAATGGGTAAGTTACAGCTACTTTTCTTCACCAACTTCATGCAGTGCGGATGTCACAGGTCTTTAGTTTTTCAAAAATTCTTTGCTTTAGGAAATTCTGCTTCCTCTTATCCTAAATACTGCGACAATTGTTTTTAGAGTTAGAGGACTGTTGCTTGTCAAGGTGACAGCTCCGTCAGGGTCACTCATTTTAAATATGACAAGTGTTACTTTCTTGTTTGGACAGTGTTTGGAAAACCAAGTCTAAATTGTGAATGCTGTTTGCTTAATGGTTTGCACCTGTGCTTCTTATTTTCTCAGGCTTTTGGTCAGCCATACAGTACCTCGGTTGCCTTTCCTTACTTATCCTTTTCAGTCTGTGCAGGCTGGGTTTGTTCTACTGTTCAGTCAGTTTTGGTCACAGCTCTTTGCCGTTTCATCTGTTCTTGCCCAGCAGAGGGGTGCCATGTCTTGCAGAAAAGTTAAGGCAAAGCAAGACAAAACTAAGTGTTCATGTGTTTGGGTTTTTTTCACGTCCTAAATTTTTTTTATTGTGAGAATAAAACAACAATCCAAAGACTGAGGAATCCTGCATTTATAAGTTATATTCGGAATTGGATGCCTCAGCAGCTGTTGTAAAGGTTTCTTTGGAAGCTAATACAATGTGTTACATGATATGTATTATATACTATATTGAAATAATGTATTTTGCGTTCCCATGATTTCAGACCCAGGTAGAGGGAGGAGCTGGGTAGGCAGGTGTGATCTCTAAAGTCTATTGGTCTTCAGTTGTGATTATCTACAACAATAGCCAATTTAATCTTTCAGTTCCCTCTCTGTCTTATCAGCATGTTCGTCCTAGTCTTTGCTAGCATCTGCTTCAGAGGTTTCAGCTTTTCTGAACACCTTCATTTGGCATTCTGCATATTTTCTTCCTAATCAGTGAAAGAAACTTGAGGAGAAGTAGGGTGCCTTCAGTGTATTACAGTCATTTTTATGTCATGTGAGCCAGGCGTGTTGTCATATTCATCACTTGTCAACCAGAAGACAAGTACTGTTTAGCTGGGAAGTTTATTAGTCCTTGGAAAAACAACCACTGTGCCCTCCTCCCTATTGCATTTCCGTTTTCTCTTGCATTTACAAGGGTGTATCTGGGGAGGGGGGAGCCATTTACATAACACTGATTTTGTGTGTGGCCAAGTAAAATACTTTTTCTTTCATCTGAACTGTAATACGGTATTTAAGACTCACTTTAACCTGTCCGGTTCAGTCACCGTGCAATATTTTTTCGAAACGTGTTGTAGTTGGCTGGGTTTTAGCATTGCTTCTTAGGAAGCAGAAATATTACTGGTGGCATGTATTGAAGCCCGGGCTTCTGTTGCTCACAGCATTACTTAGTTGAGGCCTCAGCAATTATGTAGAAAAAGCTGCAGCAGGTGGAAGCCACAGTAGCAGCCAGAGCAGAGGTATGGAAATAAAGTTCTCCTGGTAGCTATTTCCTGTCTCACTTAAGACTGAAACGATGATCTGGCTAGCAGTGTGGCAAATAAAGCCTTTACATGCTGGGAACAGAGAATTTATTTAATGTGAGTAACCAAAATTATTTTGGAACGGTACGATAAATAGCACTGGGGTGTTGCCCTATCTAGTATCTGAGAGCCTCTTACATCAATGTTTTTCATGCAGTCTTGCAGTTTTGTCTGGAATACCTTGGTTGTGGATACATGTGTCTTGGTGAAATGCCTGGCAGGAAGGAATTGCTGGTCCATTGTATATCAAAAGTGAGGTGCAGAAGAGTTTAGCAGCTTGCCTGACCAAACAAGTCAATGCCAAAACTGTGACTTAGGCCTGGCTCTTGCAAATTTTGTATGGAAAGCCTAACCTGTGAAATATCTCTAATTCTGTTGAAAAAAATAGTGGTAGCAAATATCCCTAACTCTTCAGCAGAGTGTTTTTAATAAAATGCAACCTTGTGATACTGTAGGAGGATTCTGCCAAGAAGTTCAAAACACTTTTCACATCCCGTCTCAAAATAAAACTTAACTCTTACTCCTAGACCAACTTAAAAACATTATGATGCCGGTTGCAACCCTCCTTATATTTGTTGATCTCTGCTTAATGTCTATATTAAGCTACATGATTACTCCACTATTTGAAATCCTTCTGTTGACTCAAGCACTATCCTCTTTTCCTAATGCATTGTCTGACCAATTTCAGTAAAATCTGTCTAGTAGTGATTTAATATCTTGTTGCTTACAAACCTGGGCAGTCACTACATTTTTTTTTTCTTTATAACTAAGTTACTTAAACGTTAGCAAAATAGAAGCTATCTGAAAAAATGCTATGCCAAGCAGTCTTATGGCATAGAATATTCTTGGTCTTTCATCTGCTCTGTCACATTTATTTTCTGAAATCCAACTTTGAAAGTACGTATATGCTTTCATTGCAATACTCTAATATGCTAATTAAGGATATTTAATTATACCCTCTGAAGCTGACCTCTCTGCTCTTTTACTTTTAATCCGCTCCATTTATCATCTGCAGCACATTCCTATCTCTCCTTTTAGTCCCAAGTGCTTCTAAATCCCCATTTCTTCAGGTATCATCAGTCTAAATAATCCTGTATAATTGACAACTTTGTCAATAACTGGCAGTGGCAATTTACCAGAAAGCACAGTTTAATATCTTCCTTCTTTCAGCCTCCAGGAAGATAGATACACCTGATCTTTCTGCTCATTAGTTCCCGTCTCGCTGTGTTGTTTCCCCTCTCATACTGTTTACTTGTGTATGTAAAACCTGAACCAGCCAAGTCCCTTTTTTTATTTCAACCTGTTATATTCCCCTCTTCGTGTCTTGAGTCTTTATCTCAGGAGGATTCATTGTCATATTAGTTATGATAAAAATGTGCTTCCCTGACTCCTGCTGGGAACACAAAGCTTTGCTGACACGTAAAGCGTATCTCGGTCGTTATTCTCTAGGAAGGCTGCTGCACTTGGGGCCGAGTGCTGTTAATGTAACCAAGGCACATTAAACAGACAAAAAGCTGCTAACAAAATGGAATACTTGTCTGAAAGGAAGAGTCTGATAGTTTTTTAAGGTAAGGGGAATTAATTCTTTCCTGGTCCTTTATACATTACGTTTTCAGGTAATTGTTAGTGAACCATGAAGAATTTTGCCTTCATCTGTAAATGCTGCATTTCTTTGTTTCTACCTTGTTTAAAGAGCTGGGGAAGCTAGAGCAATGAAGTAGTCTAGCATACCATCTTACTACAGCTCAAGGCTCAGTTTTTGGAATATTATTTAAATAACAGTTTGAGTTTCCAAATCTGAAGTAACACAGGTAGAAAGGGAAATATATTGAGTATCAATTTACTAGTTGGTCACTATAGTAACATGATGTAAAGAGAACAGTTATGGACATAAGGAGAAAAGAGTGTTCAAATGAACAACAGAGGGTCAAAGCCTCATTTTGTGCTGCTCAGATAAAGCAATTGTCTGCCTTAAGAGAATAACTGGGGTTACAAAGTGTAATTCTGGTGTGACTGTCATGAAGTTGCATTTTTCTGTTACCTAGTTCATGTGCAGTGTGCCTGGGAAGGACTGCAGCATGTTGTTCCTTTGGCCAGCTTTCACTGCTGTGGTGTTTTGCAAACCAGGATGCATTGAGGCATAACTTACAAAATATTTCAAGGCTCTCAATCCATGTTAGGATGTGTTTGGTGCCCGTCTGTCTGAAAGGGGCATCAGCAAGTTGAATTGTATAAAACAAGCTATTTCTATGGAGCCTTCTTGCCCTTGTGCTACTGTGAATAGCTTGTCTTAAAATCCGCAAAGTTTTCTGC